CATAGACCTAAGCATGCATAACTAACAACATATACAGACTATCGACATGGCATAGACATCTCCTATGTTCTCAAAAAAAAATATACATGGCACATACAACCCAAAATAAAGTATGTCAGGTACAAATCTAAATATCCGTAAGACCCTGACAATCATGTCAAGTAGTATCTCTCATCTGGCCTCTTGCCACGCGATGCCTCAGTACCATCAGCTCCTGTACCTGAAATGGTAATCCCCATAACGCGGGGTGAGATAATATAATTACCTCAGTAAGCTAGGGACCCTTGGAGGGCTCCTCCACCTCTAAGCTCACTTATGGTATAAACACAGTATAAAAATCCATGCATGCATCAGAATATGTATGACAATGCAGTGTGCAATAATATAATCCTACTGGCCAAAGAATATAACAAGTATGCATTACGCAAGGAAACACCGTCTTGCAACATACCGTATGAGGAAACACCGTCTCATACTATGCATAACGAAACACCATCTTATGCCTCACACAAGGAAACACCGTCTTGTGTGGCACACAAACATACATACATATACATGCAACATATAGCAAGTCATATCCACATACCATATAAAAGTACTATCCTCCCTCGGAGTCTGGTGGAACAAACGGGGGATTAACCCCAAGGACCAAAAGCTTACCTCGCAAGCAAAGTCCTCCAATAATTCTCGTGTCCACAGATTCACGATCTTTCACAAAGTCACAACCTAGTTCCAATATGTGAAGACAATCAGTATTCCTATATACCAGTCTACCACGTTAAATTTTCAAGACTACACATACAAGAAGCCTACACTTGATTTTTAGTCCAATTTATCAAAGTGTCCTAAATGGCGATTTCATAATTTTCCCTTTTACGGGAACCAATCCCAAACATATTTAGCAAAGAGACTCATCTACAAATCACCCTCCTACTACTCATACCATTTAATTTTCGAAATTGATCACTTACCCTCTTTGAAAATTTAGAGAAAAACTAGGTTTTTCACTCTAATGGTGCCACCAATGGGTCCTCTTCAACTATTGGGTCTCCTTGCTCAATCCTATACCATAAACATCAAGAAAACAACAAGATAACATATCAACATCTCCTTCAAATTCCTAATTTCGGATTACTATTCATTGTTGACCTAAGATTCATGAAAATTCTTGGAAATGTATGGAAAAGGGTGGAAACTTACCATGAATTGCCTTAGAATGCAAGAGGAAGCAAGCCCAAGCTCCAATGCACTCCAAAACTCCCAAAACTCCAAATTTATTCAAAATTTCGAAATGGGGAGAATGAGATATCTCTCAATAGGATGACTCCCAACTAAAACTAAGCTAGGGGTTTTGTAGAGGATGGAATTTGACACACTTTAGGCTTTGGAATTGATTGATTCCATCAATCCTAGGTCAAGTTATCAAGGATTGAAGTTCTCTCAAGCTTTCCTCTCTTTCTTTTCTTTTCTTTTGCTCACTGTCGTCGGCTTGTTGCGTGAAGGAAGAATAAGAATACGAAGGTTTTAATATGTTTCACGGTTAAGGAAATTCAACTGAGTAAGGACTTATTTATCCTGCTCACTTAACTCTCATTCTAACTTTACACGCTAGTCCAAAATATTTTTATGGTAATATTTATAATTTTACTTTTCACTTTCGGGTAACTTTATTTACCCGCATTTTTACTCCTTAACTGTCATTATAACTTATTTTTCACCAAAGGTGACTTTATTTCTTTTTCTTCTACTTTCCTTATAATTATTCTTCAATTTCATGATTAAAATCATTACTTCATAATTAAATCCAACACCATGTGAGGGTTATTATAACTATAAAATGTATAAAGAATGTAACTATAAATTGTGTAAAGAATGTAATTGAATAAAAAAGATAACTATAAACAAAATTGAACTAATTTCTGCTTTCGTTCCCAGCCATTACAATGGTGTTCCCACTCTAACAGAAGGTTCAGATTGTTTTAACAGTTCTTCGCGTTGTTATGTATATTAATCCTTCCTTAAAAAAGAGGAACAAAAAATTGTAGGAACAATTGGTTTTGTAGTTTGAAGCATTAAAGAAAAGTGTAGAAATTAAATTGAGCAATATTCGAGAACAACACAAGTGGAATGGAATGTGGAACGTCAGTTAATAGAAATGGAATGGATGCACTGATTCACTGCAAATCAGCTGTAGTCTAGACTCAAGACCTCATCGAACGGATTTATTTAGGTCACTTTTCATTGCCAACGTTGATTCCTCAAGCCCTTGGACTATTTGGTGAACGAAACCCCGCGTTCCCTCGCGGTTTCCTTCCCAACAATTACATAGAACCGAACCTTAATGAACTTGGTGGTTCCTTATTCCTAAAGCAACCAGTGATAGTGTTTCCACGCTCTTACCTTTCAACCAATGTTTTGCAGTCTGAAATCCCTTCCTACTGGAAGTTCCTTTCTCAGATTTGTTCAATTTCCATTGATAGAAGATATTAAGATACAAAATATTAGAAATCCATTAGATTAAGTAATTGAAATTTGATAACAGGGATTTACAACTTTAGGCATGGTTGAAAATACACGCAAAACTCCAATTACCTGAGATCCCATTACAAATCCAAGGTTCTGGCAATAGTTGCAATGAAGTCTCTGTCCGCGGCCACCCTATCCACGGCGGCGTCTGTGACCACGTCCTTTGTTCCAATTGGAATCATTGGCATGAGAGATGAAAGCAGTTGAATTGGTGGTTGGCACATGAGAAGTGTAAAGAACCAATTCAACCCAAAAGCTTAAGCTGGTGGTGATGCTGCATTAATGGTTTTATATATCTCAAACACGCCCCCTCACACGAGAGCCCATTAATGGTGGGTGAGGCTACATTGAAGGGTGAATGATGCATCAGGCCCAACCTACTTGTGCAAAGAAATTCCATAAGAGAAAGTGGGGGGCGGTGAGGATCGAATCCGTGACACCGATACTCTGATACCATGTAAAGAACCAATTCAACCCAAAAGTTTAAGCTGGTGGACGAGACTACATTAATGGTTTTATATATCTCTAACAAGAAGAAGCAAGAACGGGTGCGGGTGCTGTTTTATCTTTAAGGTTCAGCAGGCGCTGGAAAGTCTGTGACAGGCTAGGAGTCCCAGCACTGGTTAAAATATTCTCATGAACACTTTATAACTTCTTTGATAGACCGAAAATGTTTACAACCATAAAGATGCGCTCCACCTGCTTCTTGTATTCAGAGGCTCGAATGAAAAACTCCACCTAGCATGTTTTCCGATCTTTCATCAAGCGAATTCAACCTTTGGTGGCGGACAAGCTTTATGAGGCTCTCATGGAATTCCCATACGACGGACCGGTCATTACTTACCATGATGAATTTAAGAGGTTGGTAGATCCTATGAGGCACGGAGACAAGAAAGTTATATAAGGAATTTGGATGGCTGGCTTGAGAAACGACCTCCAAACAAAGTTGAAGGTACATTGCGTGATGTCACTCTCAGAGTTGATGGATCTGGCCCTAACATAGAAAAGAATTGTGACAACTAACCCGAAACCAGTATCCAAGACAAGTTGAGTTTTAATGTTTGGGTCACTAATGTAATTGGCTCGATAATGGGTCCTATCAAGAACAATCCTAATACTCGAAACTCTAGCGGCATGCTCAATATCACATCTCAAATAGTGAGCTTCACAACTAGGAACCCGAATTTCTTGAACAACAAAGCATAGGAAAGGTCTGGTAGCAACAACCAGAGAGGATTCTAAAGGTTATCTGCAGCAAAGATGAAGGAACGTCATGCGCAGGGTTAATGTTTCAATTGCGAAGAGCATTTTTGGCAATAAAATGATAGGCATGATGTTAATCGAAAGGAATAGATAAGAATGGAAAGAATATATAATATTGTATTATTCATGATTGATATCCATATGGAATTCCTTAAAATACTCACGGTCTAGTAAGCCACAAAAAAGAGGGAAAAAGCAATGTTCTAGAGCATTCAAGAGGCACCTAGTCTTTCCAAATTTCCAATTTCTACCCACTCAATAGTTTTCCCCATGACCTCTCTCTTTTCCCCCATTTATCAAGATTCCCCATTAATACAAAATCACCCATGATTGATACTTGTTTGAGATATATAAAACCATTAATGTAGCCTCACCCATTAGCTTAAGCTTTTGGTTTGAATTGGTTTTTTACATGGTATCAGAGCCTCATGTCACGGGTTCAATCCTCATTGTCTCCACTTTCTCTTGTGAAATTTTTTAGCACAGGTAGGTGGGCCTGTGCATTGTCCACCCTTCAAGCGTAGTGGGCTCTCGTGTAAGGGGGCGTATTAGAGATATATAAAACTATTAATTTAGCCTTACCCACTAGCTTAAACTTTTGAGTTACAGAATCACCCATAATGATTGATACCCATAATTAATTCGGAATCACCTATGATTAATATCTATGAATATGAAGTTATCCATAATGAATGTACCCATAATTAATACTGAAACACCCACAATAAAATCCCTCCACTTATTGTGCTCACTTATCATGGGAAGGGCTTAATCCCCTACGACCCTTTGTAGATTACACCTGCAGGTTTGGTGTATTTCTATCACAAAATTCTATCGAGTCCACCATTTTGCATTTTCTGATATCGTATTTTGGTTTAGGTTTTGCTGGGGTGGGTGTTTTGTCAAATGTTTTACACATTGTGTTAATTTATGTTCCTTTAAAATATAAGGACAACTCTTTTTTTACTGTTTTCATTCTTCTCATCCCAACTTGAATACATTGTTTTGCTTTTTTTCCAATTCTATGAATTGTTCGAAAAAATTAATGCATATGTACTTTGTTTAGATAGGAGGCATAGATATTTTGTGATGCAAAATGTGCCCCAGTGCATGCTAACATTCATGCTGCTCTATCCACGTTGGTTGTTAGCTTTGAATATAAAGGCTTTAGTCTTGTCGGTGAGCTGCATTATTACTTTTATTTGTTGCAGTTGGAACATATTTTGCTATCGGATAAGCATAAGATAGAGAAAGAACAAAATACTCAGCTTAGAAACCAAGTTGCTCAACTGTTACAGTTAGAACAAGATCAAAAATTGCAGATGCAGCAGCAAGATTCAACAATCGAAAGTTTGCAGGTTGGTCCTGTCGTATGCTAGTTTGCATAAAATATTCATAAGGAACTTCTTAAAGGTATAAAAATCCAATTTCTTAGTAATTTAATAACTGCAGTTTCCTGATAGAAAGTTAAAATGGTCTAACAAAATGCCAAAAAGGGATGTAATCTCTTTGGGTAGAATGAATGCACATGCGTTTTGTTTGCTGGGATACTTTATCTTACATACATATAAATTATAGTTGAGCCTTAAATTCTTCACAGTTGCTCGTTACCCTTAAATTCTTCTTACCTTTTGTTCTCGCTTGCTAGCTCTCTGAGCTGGAGTTTTGGTTTGCTAGTTATTGTATACATCCAATCCAATGTTGTGTGTGCCGTTGCTTCTGTGGCATGCTATCAAGTGCTATATATCATCAAATTTATGTATGTGCTGGTGGCCTTTCTAGTACAAAGCTGCAGGAGCACCACTTCAGCCACAATTTGGGTCACTGCACAGTTTTAATATATTTGCCCCATTATTGAGTAGTTTGAACATAATCAATTACACCCTTTGCTTTATTGTCTAAATTCAGTGCAAATAAATTGAGTTAAGCCTTAGTCCTAGATGTAATGATGTATGATATCATTTCTTCATGCATGCCAGATAATTTATATACACTTCTTTGTTGCTCTCTGATACAGGCTAAAATTAGAACCCTTGAAACTCAACTCAATGAAGCTCTTAGATCCAGCGAACCTAGGTCAACGTTTGTCTTACAGCCAGAGTCTGCAGCTCTATCCAATTCCAGACCAACTGGAGATGGCATGGACTCTTCTGCAGTAACCAAAAAACTAGAAGAGGAACTCAAGAAACGTGATGCTCTGATTGAGGTCTGCTGTACTTGACAATTTTGTATCTGATTGTAGTTTTTTTTTCCAAATTTTGTTTCCTATTAAATTGTGGTTATTATATTTTACTTCTTTGATCATCAAATTTTGCAGTTTTTTATATAGTTGAGCATAAACTTTCATAAAAACCATTAATGGCCATAACATTCTGTATGTCTTACTGATAATAATTAGTATACATATAGGAGCATACTTAAGTATGGGTGGACCTCCATCATTGAAAGAAACAATCAAGTCTGTTAGAATATATTAGATGTGATTAGATATGATTAGATGTGATTAGATATGATTAGATATGATTAGATTACTTCCTATCCGTAAATATTCTGATTGTATTAGGTCTGGGCCTTTCACTTAAGCCCATTAGGGTCTCTATATATTGTAACTCTCTGAATTAGATCAATACACAACATATTATTTTATATTCAAGTTGGTATCAGAGCTCTTTTGTTCTGGGAATTTTCGCTTCCGCTAAAACCCTAAGCTCACTGCATAGGCGTTCTCTCCTTCCTCTAACGTCGTGCGTCCCTCCGGCTTAGTTCTACACTGTTCACACGGTTTTTTTAAAAAAAAAATCACTGTTCATCGTCCGTACAGGATGCACTATTCACCGCCCGTACGATTTCACTGTTCACCGCGTCCGTACCGTTACTGTTCACCGTCCGTACAAAAATTGTTCACCCCGTCCGTACAGGTACTGTTCACGAAAAAAAAAAATTCTGTTTCAAATTTGGTCATCTCCTATATAATATTATGGCAGCAAATGATTCTGATCATTCGGAGGTCAATTCTCAACCTCATCCTGTCAAAAATTCTCCCAATATCATCTCTACCAATGCTGGGTCCATTACCTCTTCAAAATTGAAGGGTTCTGTTAATTACAAGAATTGGGCCACCTCTCTTGCTGCGAATATAGCTCAGCAGTCAGACAATGCATCATTTGGTTCAGTTTCTCTCTCACTTGCGGACTATGCTGCACTCCAAACTCTTCTCAAGAAGGCTTCTCCTCAGTCTCAGCCCTCCGCTCCATATACCGGTAATCCCGTTGCTTGTGTTTCTCAATCTACATCACTTGGCACTTGGATATTTGACTCAGGTGCTACCGATCATCTCTGTGGTAATAAGGAACTCTTTACATCTCTTACTTATTCTGATCATTTACCTTCATTTACCCTTGCTGATGGAACCAAAGCTCCAGTTCGTGGGATTGGACAAGCTCGTCCGACCTTTACCTTGGCCTTGACATCTGTTTATTACATTCCTGGCATCCCTTATAACTTAATTTCTATTAGTAAATTGATCCACTCCCTCACTTGCACCATTACTTTTTCAAACCATTCTGTTTCTGTGCAGGATCCGGGTACGGGGAAGATGATTGGAGTGGGTCGTGAGTCACGGGGGCTTTACTATCTAGAGGTGCCTCGTCCTTCAGTGGCATGCTCTCTCACAGAATCTCCACAACTTATCCACAGTCGCTTCGGTCATCCAAGTCTTTCAAAGTTGCAGAAGATGGTTCCTCTTTTATCTAGTCTTCAGTCTTTAGATTGTGTGTCATGTCAACAAGGGAAGCATACACGCTCCTCTTTTGCCAGTCGAGTCAATAAACGAGCTGATGCCCCTTTCTCTCTTGTTCATTCAGATATCTGGGGTTCAAGTCGTACCTTGTCTGTTTTAGGTATTTCGTTACCTTTATTGATGATTTCTCCCGTTGCACTTGGATTTATTTAATGAAAAACCGATCTGAGTTGTTTTCTATTTATCAAAAATTTTCTGCTGAAATTCATACTCAATTTGGTGCCTCTATTCATATTTTACGTAGTGATAATGCTAAGGAATATGTTTCTGTGGACTTTTCTAATTTCTTAGCCAAACATGGTACTTTACACCAAACTACTTGTCCTCACACTCCACAACAAAATGGAGTAGCTGAACGTAAGAATAGACATCTTATTGAGACTGCACGGACTCTTCTTATTCACATGCATGTTCCTCTTCACTTCTGGGCCGATGCAGTCCTTGCCTCTTGTTTTCTCATCAACTGTATGCCTTCATCTGTGCCTAATAATGACATTCCTTATAACTTATTGCTTCCATATGTTCCTCTCTATCCTCTATCCCCACATGTCTTTGGTTGTACCTATTTTGTTCATGATCTCACCCCTGGTAAGGACAAGTTAACATCTAAAGCCTTTAAATGTCTTTTTCTTGGTTATTCTCGTCTTCAAAAGGGTTATCGTTGTTATTCTCCCGATCTTAAGCGTTACTTAGTTTCCGCTGATGCACTTTTCTTGATCAACAACCCTTTAATTCTATCCCATCTCCGTTGTCACAGGTTGATCATGTTCTTCCTGTCCCTTTTCTTGACTTGTCTGTGCCAGCTGCAGGTGCTTCTATTCCAGATGAGCAACCTATTGCTTCTATACCTGCGGACCGTCCACTTCTCACCTATCAGCGTCGTAAAATTGTGCCTCCTGTCGACTCGACTCTTGCTGACTCATCGCCCATTGCTATTGATTCTTCCTCTCCGGATCCTTCACCAGAGGCTCTTCCCATTGCTCAAAGAAAAGGTACACGTACTACTCGTAATCCTTATCCTCTTTATACCTTTTTGAGCTATGACCGTCTTTCTTCACCTCATTTCACCTTTGTTTCTAGTCTTTCTTCTGTTTCTATTCCTAAGACCACAGGTGAAGCACTTTCCCATCTAGGGTGGCGCCATGCGATGCTTGATGAGATGACTGCCCTTCATTCCAATGGCACTTGGGACCTTGTTTCTGCTCCTCCACAGAAGTCTATATTTGGTTGTCGTTGGGTGTTTACTGTGAAAGTTGGACCTGATGGCCATGTCGATCGACTCAAGGCACGCCTAGTTGCAAAAGGTTTTACTCAAATCTTCGGCCTTGATTATAGCGATACATTCTCTCCGGTCGCTAAGATGGCGTCAGTTCGCCTATTTCTTGCTCTTGCTGCTGTTCGTCATTGGTCACTCCTTCAACTTGACATCAAAAATGCATTTCTTCATGGTGATTTACAAGAAGAAGTCTACATGGAGCAACCGCCTGGTTTTGTTGCTCAGGGGGAGTCTGGGAAGGTGTGTCGTCTTCGAAAATCCTTATATGGTCTCATGCAGTCTCCTCGAGCATTGTTCAGTCGCTTCAGTTTTGCTGTTCAGGCGTTTGGCTTAATTCGCAGTAAAGCTGACCATTCTGTATTTTATAGGATTGCTTCTCCTGACAAGTGCATCTATTTGTTAGTCTATGTTGACGACATCATTCTCACCGGAAGTGATCAAGACGGAATTCGTCAGTTAAAACAACATTTATTCAGTGTATTTCAAACAAAGGACCTTGGGAAGCTGCGTTACTTCTTGGGAATTGAGGTGGCGCAATCTAGACAGGGCATTTCTATTTGTCAAAGGAAGTATGCCTTGGATATCTTAGAAGAAACTGGTATGTTGGGGAGTAAACCAGTTGATACACCCATGGATCCTAATGTCAAGTTATTGCCCGGACAGGGGGAGCCGGTGTCTGATCCTGGACGTTATCGGAGGCTAATTGGGAAGCTCAATTATCTTACTGTGACTAGGCCAGATATTTCTTTTGCTGTTAATACGGCTAGTCAGTTCCTTGATTCCCCTTGTGATTCACATATTGGGATGCTGCTGTGAGGATCCTCCGATACATCAAAGGAGCACCAAGAAAAGGTTTGTTGTATTCGGATCAGGGAAATACAGAAATTTGTGGTTATTCAGATGCTGATTGGGCAGGATCACCCTCGGACAGGCGCTCTACTTCCGGTTATTGTGTCTTCTTTGGAGGAAACTTAATTTCGTGGAAGAGCAAGAAACAACCTGTTGTTTCTCGATCTAGTGCAGGAGCTGAGTATCGTGCAATGGCAAATACTACCTGCGAGTTAATCTGGTTAAAGCAGTTGATTCAGGAGCTTCATCTTTGTGAACAGAAACAACCCATGACACTCATCTGTGATAATCAAGCTGCGCTACATATATCCTCTAATCCTGTATTTCATGAGAGGACCAAACATATAGAAATTGATTGTCACTTCATTCGAGAAAAGATTCAGTCAGGAGAAATCAAGACAGCGTTCGTCAACTCTTCTGATCAACTAGCGGATGTCTTCACTAAAGCTCTTAGAGGTCCTCGGGTTGAATACATTTGTAACAAGCTTGATGCTCACAATATATACGCACCAGCTTGAGGGGGAGTGTTAGAATATATTAGATGTGATTAGATATGATTAGATGTGATTAGATATGATTAGATATGATTAGATATGATTAGATTACTTCCTATCCGTAAATATTCTGATTGTATTAGGTCTGGGCCTTTCACTTAAGCCCATTAGGGTCTCTATATATTGTAACTCCCTGAATTAGATCAATACACAACATATTATTTTATATTCAAGTAAGTCGAAAAAGAGGTTGAGCTGAAATGGGATAGATTTAGTAAATGGGCAAAAAAATCAAAAGCTAAACTTGCAAACAAGAAAAATCAGCTTAATTTCTGGTTTGCATCTTCAGATAACCTTTCTAATTTGTAGAAGATATACTCGGTCTAAAAGTTGCCAAGCCGTAAGTTAATATTTCTTTTGTTGAATTCTTTAGCTGTATTGAATTTTGATATGCCTAATATAGTTTTATATTGTTTTGGTGAGGAGCTCAATTTGATATTTGATGTTTTGCAGAGGTTGCATGAAGAAAATGAGAAATTGTTTGATAGATTAACTGAGAAAGCCTCTGTGGCTGTGTCGCCTAAGGTGGGAAAGTTTAGTTACATACCAGTAACTGTTTACAATCGTTGTGTAGAACTGTTATATATAAAAGGAATTATTGTTATCAACCTTTTTAAATTCCACTCTTTTTTTATTTTAAATTTTACATATCAAATTATGATATTTGATTAAAGGAAGTTCCACTGCACATGGTCCTGTTGTAGTCTTCTTCTGATGATTGGGCTTGCGTTACTAAGAACTTCAACAGAGTAGTTAAAAATGTCTTTATCTTGCACATAAATAATGTTTGAATGTGAACAACTTTTGATTTGTAAATTGGCTTCTGTCTTTCTTTTGATCAATCGTGGAATTAGCAACATATCGCAATACTGTCATAGATAACAAATACAAACTGTAATGTGACATTTATTTATATTGATAATCATGCTTCTGTGCTGTCTACGTGGTACTTGTGGCTTCCTAAAATTGGCACCTTATTTTCAGCTTTCAAGTCCATTATCTCGGGGATCAGTTAGTGTTCAATCTCGAGATATGGGAAGGTACATTTTATTCCATTTCTTGTATATTATGCAGTTGTGTTTTGTTTTCAAGAATATGATTTTGGATTTATTCTCATTGGTTTGACGTAGGAATGGTACCAGCAACAGTACAAAAACTCATTCTAGGGATGTTCTTCCTTCATCTTTGGCCATTGACAAGAATGATGGCACAGTTACAGTAGTTAAATCTGGCTCTGAAGTAGTTAAAACTACCCCAGCAGGTGAATATCTTACTGCTGCCCTGAATGACTTTGATCCAGATCGATATGAAGGGCATGCTGCCATTTCTGATGGTGCAAACAAGCTTTTGATGCTGGTATGCAAGTTTGCTGAAAATTGCTTTATTGTAATTTGTGGAGATATCTATTTTCCCGTTACACATTGAGCTGAGTCCTTTCTTGAGAGGAATGTCTAAATCCTCATCATACACGTAAACTTGAAAATTTAAGTATGCTCTAACCTCTTGCTAGTTACTCACTGGATAATATAGTGACTCCAATGCATTAAGAAGCTTTCAGGAAATTACACTCACAATGCTGGAGTTTAATGCTTATTACACGCGACATCCTTCTTATATGGGACATGCCACGAGCCTTTGTTGATTGAAACGGTGATAGCTTTCGATTTAATATATGGGTAACATATCTTGTTTACCCTCAAATAAAAATCCTATTCATGCTTACCCTGCCTCATAATTAAAAGCTTACATTTCCTGTTTGTAACTGTGTATATTTCTTCATTAATTACCAATGGGATGAGTTTTTTACAATATAACAAAGATAAAAAAGGTAAAAGAGTAAAACAACAAAGGCTATATGGGCTAAGGCCCATAACACTAATGTACAAGAAATTCCCACACTCCCCCTCAAGTTGGGAGATAAATATTTGATCATTCCCAACTTGTCTATTAAGTTATCAAAAACTGATCTGCGTAGACTCTTAGTAAGAATGTTTGCAGTTTGCTCTTTGGTAGGAAAATATGACATACACACACTCTCATCATCCAATTTCTCCTTGATGAAGTGACGATTAACCTCCACATGTTTTGTTCTGTCATAATGAACAATATTTTGAGAAATACTGACAGCAGCTTTGTTATCACAATACAACCTTAATGGTAGGGAATAAGAGATCTTCAGTTCATCTAAGAGTCTTCTTAACCAGACTCCCTCACAAACTTCATGAGCTAGTGCTTGGAATTTTGCCTCAGCACTACTCCTTGCAACCACTGTTTGCTACTTGCTTCTCCAAGTTGCTAAGTTTCCCCACACATAGGTGCAATAGCTTGAGGTTGACTTTCTGTCTACTGATGAACCATCCTAATGTGCATCAGTGTAGATTTCAATCATCTTATTGTACCCCTTTTTGAAAAACAATCCCCTTCCTGGTGTACTCTTGAGGTACCTTAGGATTCTATATACTGCTCCAAGATGTTTCTCTTTGGGTGAATGCATAATTTGGCTAACTATGCTTACTGCAAAAGCAATGTCAGGTCGAGTATGGGACAAGTAGATCAACCTTCCAACCAATCTCTAATACTGCTCCTTGTCCACCTCTTTCCCATCTTCAATACCCAACTTAATGTTGGGTTTTATAGGTGTTTCGGCTGGCTTGCATCCTAGCATGCCTGTCTCCTGAAGCAAATCTAAGATGAACTTCTTTTGAGAGATAGTGATCCTTGTCTTGCTTTGGGCTACTTCCATGCCAAGGAAATACTTTAGAACCCGAAGGTCCTTCAGTTCAAACTGACATGCTAGATTCTCCTTTAAGGAATCTAACTCCTCACGGTCATCACCAGTAATAATTATTTCTTCCACGTAGACTATAAGAATGGCAACTTTACCATCCTTAGAGTGTTTGTGGAAGAGTGTATGATCAGTTTGTTCTTGTAAGAAACCCTTCCTCTTAACTGCTTGAGTAAACTTATCGAACCATTCTCTAGGAGACTGTTTAAGTCCATAGAGAGACTTCTTTAGCTTACACACCAAGCTAGCTCCTTTTTTGAAACCAGGTGGTGGATCCGTATAGACTTCTTTATGTAGGTCACCATTCAAAAAAGCATTCTTTACATCCAGCTGTTGTAAGGGCCAATCCTGATTAGCAGCCAAGGATAGAAGAACTCCAATAGTGTTGAGTTTAGCAACAGGAGAAAAGGCTTCTTGATGCTGCACGTTTGAGTGTACCCTTTTGCAACCAGTCTGGCCTAATATCTATTGATGCTGCCATTTGCATTGAAATTAATGGTGTACACCTACTTGCAGCCAACTGGTTGCTTTCCTCTTGGTAATTCCACAATGTCCCAAGTGTTATTCCTTTCCAAAGCATCCATTTCTTCAATGACAGCCAACTTTCAATTTGGATCATCAAGGGCTTCTTGGATATTTTTTGGAATCTTCATACCATAGTAGCATAGTAGTTAAAAGCGGATTGCGGCCCGTTGCGGCCAACCCTGAAAAACGCTATAGCGGGTTGCGGTTGCGGAAATAGCGGAATGTATTAACATAACCTAGATACATCATACATATATATGCTAAAAAATAAAAATTAATCAATAATAATAATAAAGAATTGCTCCAAAACAAATAGGAATTCCAAGTAGCCTATTAAAAGATCTAAATATTGTCAATATCCAAAACATATTCCATTCCGTTTCCATATTCAAATGTCAAAAAGAACTAATCAGAATCTTCAATTCCATCATCACCAAAGTTTGTTTCAGCCTCACTGTCACTAGTTCTATATTATACAATTGTTCTGGCACATCTTCAAGTCCTTCTGTTTCTATAATGTACTTTCCTTTAGAGCTTGAAGGCAAAGTAGTGGACCTTGTCTGCTGTCTAGTGTAAACTATAGGTTCATCAACATTAGTTACATTTGCAATTACACCCCAGGTCAAGGTATCACCCTCAAATACAACTTCATTCTCATTATGTTCCCCATCTCCTCCCATATCTCCTATCAACCATTCATTGCTTTCATCAATACCATTTAGGAGAATAGGATCAATCAGATCACGACTGTCAAATCGGTGTTTAATAGTTTGGTTATATTTAATATAGACCAAGTCCTTCAACTTCTGACGCTCAAGTCTACTTCGCTTCTAGGAATGAATCTATTTGATAATTAATTAAAAAATATTAGTTTCACAATTCGTTATGAAGCTTTATAAAATAAAACCATTGAGCATATACTTACATGCTCAAAAATACTCCAACTGCGCTCACATCCTGAAGAGCTGCAAGTCAGACTCAATACTTTAATGGCAATTTTTTTCGGTGCTTTTGTTTGTGTTCCATATGTCCCCCACCATTGAACTGTAATACAAAATATAATAACTAAATAATATGACTAGTTAAATAAATTGTAATAATAAAAGCCTAAAGTGATCAAAAACTTACGAGGAGACACTTTATCCCTTTGTCTTTTGGCCGAGTCCATGCCAAAGAGACCCTGAGCTTTCTTATATAATTCCAATTCATCCATAACCTGGTCCATGTCATCCTCATTGGCAGTTAGTCTCTCGAAGCATTTTAAATAACCATTAACCACTTCTAAATCTTCATCAAGCTTTGGATTAGAATAAAAATATTGAGGGTTAAGATAATGCCCAGCTGCATGCAAAGGATGATGAAGTTGACAATCCCATCTTCTATCAATGATAGCCAAACTCTCTTTATACTTATCTTCCTTTCCAATTCCACGAAATGCATTTTGAATTGCTTCTTTGGCCCTATCCATTGCTTCATAAATGTAACCCATTGCTGGCTTGTTTTCATTATCAACCATCTTCAGCACACCCACAAGAGGCCCCATAGCCTTAAGACAATAAAGAACATCATTCCAAAAAGATGTACTGAGTACTATATCAGTTGCCCTTTTCCTCTTAGGGTCTTTGGTAGTCTTAGATTTTGACCACTCATTCGAAGTGAACATCCTTCGGAGGTTGTTTTTCTGCTTATACAATCTTTGTAATGTCAAGAATGTGGTGGAAAACCTTGTCACTCCATGCCTCACCAATTCTGTTTTGCTTGTGAACTTCCGCATAGTGTTCAATGCCAATGAAGGATTATAAATGAAACCTACTAGGTTGATGCCTCTTTTTATTGTCCTTTTTACTCGATCAAGCTTTCCAATGTCTTCTAGCATCAAGTCCAAGCAATGGGCAGCACATGGAGTCTAAAACAAATGACGTCTCTTCGCTTGTAAAAGTTTTCCTAACATCACAAGCATAAACTTAATTAAGAAAATGAGTCACGAATAAATTGAAATATTAACAATTGAATGAGGTTATTGTCTCTTACCAGCCAAAACATAATTTCTTCCGTTGTCGGTCACCACTTGAACAACATTTTGTTCACCAATCTCCATCATAAAAGTGTCCAGAAGTTCATGTAATTTCTCACCAGTCTTCATATACGAAGAAGCATCAACACTCTTGACAAACATAGTTCCTGATGGACAATTCACCGAGAAATTAATCAAAGTTCTACCCTTCTTATCTGTCCATCCGTCAGACATAATAGAACATCCATAGTTTACTCTCTCTATCTCATGCTCCTTCAGTAATTGCTTTGTATACTCTAACTCTTTTTGAAGGAGTGTATTTCTACATTCATAATAAGATGGAACCTTCAAATGAGGACCATAGTTCCCTATTGCTTTAACCATCAACCTAAACTTCTAGAGCGTACAACATTGAAAGGTATCCCATTCGTTACTAAAAACCTCTCAATATATTGAACTGTTCTTACTCTAGCTTCTTTATCACACACATCATTGATGCTTGTTTGCCTTTTCCCTAACTTGATGTTGTCTTCTGGTTTTTTCAAAAGAAGTAAGTCCATGGGACCTTTCACAGTCTTGCCTTTCTTGGTAGCAACAACAGAGGAATCACTATTGGGTGTTACTCCCTTTTTTCCAGTTCTAAGGTTATGGATTTCTTCCACATCTTCAAGCTCATCATCATCTTCTTGTAGCTCATTTAGGGAAGCATTCTTATCAGCTAGCTTCTTCTCATATGCTTCCTTCAAAGCATTTCTTACTTCTGGGGGTTTTTTCTTACATGGCTCTACTTCTCCATTTATCCCCATTTGGTGTAATTTAGCCTTGGTAATTCCACTTCTTGTTGTCTTCTGACAGAAGTCACGTCCCGTTTCTTTTGTTATTGATATCCTTTAAGGAATTCCATTGCCATGCTATATCACGATGAGGACCCGGGGGTTTAACCAAACAACAAGAAGGAGATTCTTGTGTGCTGTTGTTGGATGCCATCACTAGCTATATTTATTAATAGAGTAAAGGCAAACAAAAAATAAA